CAGTGCTGAAATGCCTAGGAGAAAGGCATTCTTGTTCATATTGTGCTATTTGGGGCTCTCCTCAGGCCCACATAGCTAGGCAAGACTTCAGGCTCTTCTGTTACAAGAAATGTTGCCGGTCCAGCCTCTTGGATCAGATACTTCTAAATAGATATCCGATACCTCACCTCAGGAAGGAATCTGGGGTAACTTAAGACTTTGATGTAAATCCGTGTATAAATTTACCAGTATTCTTTCCCAAACCATGGGCACGTAAAGGCAAATCTAAATTACATTCTTTAGATACAGAGAATGCTTTCTGATCGGAACAGAACTAAAGACTTTAGGTCCTCTGCTACATTGTTTATATCATATGTTGGTCAAGAGTCAAGCTGTCTCTGCCCTTTCCCCATCAGTGGGTCAGATAGTCTCTCCTCCTGCAGTTCTTAGAGTTCATTCTGCCAGTGCAGTTGCTGCAACTGTAGCATGTGGTAGACATGTTCCCATTATTGAAATATGTAAATATGGAGTTCAAGTCACACTTTCTCTAAACAGTGTGCCTTTTTAGATTTGGCAGCCAGATCTGATGCACAGTTTGGCAAAATGATACTTCAGTTGTTGTTTAATTAGTACTCAGTGTTCCTACATCCACCTTTTACGTACTCCTTGCCAAACTATCCCAAGAGTGGGAAAATTCAGAGGACTCTTGAAGAAAATGAAGGTTCCTTGTAACTGTAGTTCTTAGAGATGGACTCTACATATTTCCACTCCCTGCCCACCTTCCCTTCTTCTGTGGAGTCCCAATTAAGGTTATCACTGGATTCTGTAATAGGGGTGGAAGAAACTGAGCTGCTTGTGTCACCAAGCCCCTTTGACAGCCATGCCCTCAGAATGGGCTAGAATGTTTAGGGAAGTGGGGAGAAGGGTATGTGAGCATTCCAAGAGTGCGAATATGCAGATTTCAGAGTAGCAGCCATGTTAGACTGTATCCGCAAAAAGAACAGGAGTACTTGTAACAAATTTTAGAGCATAAGCTTTCGTGGGCTACAGCCCACTTCTTCGGATGCATATAGAGTGAAACATATATTGAGGAGATATATATATACACACATACAGAGAGCATGAACAGGTGGGAGTTGTCTTACCAACTCTGAGAGGCCAATTAAGTAAGTGGGGAAAAAAACTTTTGAAGTGATAATCAAGATAGCCCAGTACAGACAGTTTGATAAGAAGTGTGAGAATACTTACAAGGGGAGATAGATTCAGTGTTTGTAATGGCTCAGCCATTCCCAGTCCTTATTCAATCCTAAATTGATTGTATCTATTTTGCATATCAATTCCAGCTCAGCAGTCTCTCGTTGGAGTCTGTTTTTGAAGTTTTTCTGTTGTAAAATAGCCACCCGCAGGTCTGTCATTGAATGACCAGACAGGTTAAAGTGTTCTCCCACTGGTTTTTGAGTATTATGATTCCCGATGTCAGATTTGTGTCCATTAATTCTTTGCATAGAGACTGTCCGGTTTGGCCAATGTACATGGCAGAGGGGCATTGCTGGCACATGATGGGATATATCACATTGGTAGATGTGCAGGTGAATATGCAGAGTCAATCACCAAGAACTATAGTTGCAAGTAACTAACCTTCATTTATTCTGTGTGGAAAATGGTCAAAACTTGGCCAAGTTATACATTTTTGAAAAAACTCAGACTTGTAAGAGTTTGGAAGCTAAGTTTTCTGAAGATTCTTTATGCACTAAGCATGCTCCTGCTAAGGGCTGCAGGGACTGAGCAGGACTTTTCATGCAATTGCTCCTCTTGGTATGGTGACCAGATGTCCCGATTTTATAGGGACAGTCCCGATTTTTGGGTCTTTTTCTTATATAGGCTCCTATTGCGCCCCCACCCCTGTCCTGATTTTTCACACTTGTTGTCTGGTCACCCTTCCTCTTGGTGTCCTGAAACACTATGGTATCAGGAACTGGGAGTAGGGGGATTCTCTTCCCTGCTCTCATTGCTTCTACTTCTGGTGCCCAGGAATCATGGGCGGGAGGGGGAGAAGCCTGTCTTGAATTCAGATGGATGAGAAATGGGAGGGACGGGAGAAAGTGGGGTCGCAGGGTGGGAGGTTGTAGGAGCCAGAAAGCGAGGGAGGGAGAAAGGGAGGAGCTGGAGGGGGTTGGATAGGAGCTGAATGGGACAGGATATAGGTTGCACTTCTTAACTGAGTGCTTGACTCTGCAACTTTAACTATCTTTTAACATAGTCTTTTAGATATAATAGATATTATGTTAACAGTATATTATTTCTACGTGACTGTACCCAGGGTCGTGAGGCACCTCCCCACCATCTGCCCATAGTGTGAGGAAGTGTTGTCTGTTCCTTCTGTGGGTCAGCTCCTTGAAATCACCAGCCTCTGGCAATGCAACCACTGCCTTCCAGACCTCTTCAGGCCTTGCTGCCTCTGTACAGGGTAGTTATAGGCATACATCAATCCCTGAGTCTTCTGAGCATTCCCTGTAGTGCCCAGCCCCTTATCCACTGAGCACTCAAAATTACCAGGCCTGCTGTTCCCAAAGGAACAGTAAACACCACCTTACTACTTATACCTTGCTAAACACTTAATCTTTTTCACTATAAATACATCTATGTTTATTGTTAAAGAACTGACATTCAAGTGAATAAGAATATTGGAAATAAATGGTTACATATCAAACAAAATCATAAAACGCTTTCTTGAGACTAAACATAACTAACAGATTAACATCTTGTTTAAAGAAGCTGGTCTCATCCAAGGTTCTTTCCAGTGTTTTCAGCCAAGTGTGGTTGAGATCCCTCTTTCATGAAGCAAACTCATTGTCCATTTGCTTCCATAGGGAAAGCTGCTAGGGTGTCTTCTTTGTCCCCCAAATCACTAGAGCAGCCCTTTGGTGTGCAGGTCAGAATAGGGTTGTCTCCCCGGCTCTCCCGCTGCTTGCTTCCTCCTGTTACTTTTGTCTTTTGAATTTTTCAGAATCCTTCATTAGCATTCAGTTTAGACTGGTGAGAAGAGGCCCTTTGTTTACATGTAAATTAAGCACTGTATAGTTCAGACCGCTAGATAACAATTTCTCTTCTGACAGAACCTGTATTTCATCTTTGCTGGTGATCAGTTCCTAAATACAGACCTTAACATCATTAATTGTGTGTGGGGGTGTGTGTGTGTATGTGTGTGTGCGCGCACACACACACATATGTATGTAACTCCTTAACAACACCCATATATGTTTAGAATGTATATTCCGGACCCAGGAGGTCCCTGTAACATCTAGGCACCCCTCTATGTCCCTTTCTAGTTGGCACTAAGAGGTTCCTGGGTCATACATGACCAATGCATACCATAGTGTTGTCATTTTATGGAATGCTCTGGTGAGAGCACAGATCCATGCCAATGAAGTACCAGCCTATCACATAAATGTGGACAAGTACTAACAGAAGAATATCTTTGGAGCATCAGTACTAACATGACTTTTCTTGTGTCAGGCCTAAAAAATCTTACATAGTTGCTCTTTTTTTGTGTCTTTTTATCTCCTCCTTGAATCCATTCAGTTTCCATGCGCAAGCTAGAGGTGATGAGGATGGCAGAAATTTGTAAATTATACAGTGATATTGTTTCTCTGGCAGATTTGATGATACTTTTATCTTTTGCTCATCTTCCAATGTTCTAACACAATCCAAAGTGTTTCCAAATTAACCAATAATGACTAGTTGCTCTGCACTGAGTTCGCCAACAGTTTTCATTAAGTAATCTGAAGCAAACAGATCATGGTTTTGTGCTATAATTCTCTCATGCTCAAAAATAGTTATTTTTGTCCACAAGGAAAGTTTTAAATCAGCCCCTGCCCCCTGGACATTCCCAATACTTTAACAAAAAACCCTAACAAGCTGGCATCATGTGCTACTTACATATATTGGGATTTCACACTGTCCAAAATCAAACTGGGATTGCACACTAGTTGGAGGAGACAGATAGATATTTTATTTTAAGTCCGGGATGGGCAAACTTTTTGGCCTGAGGGCCACATCGGCGTTCCGAAACTGTATGGAGGGCCGGGTAGGGAAGGCTGTGCCTCCCGAAACAGCCTGGCCCCCACCCCCCCCCCACTTTCCCCCCCCCCGCCTGCCCCCCCCAAACCCCCCCCTGCTCCTTGTCCCCTGCCCCCCCCCCCCCGGATCCCTCCCCCCAAACTGCCCCCCCAGGACCCCACCCCCATCCAACTGCCCCCTGTCCCCTGATGGCCCCCCGGAACCCACTGGCCCTTATCCAACCCCCCCGCCCCTTTACCATGCCTCTCAGAGAAGCAGGACTGGTAGCTGCGCCGCCCGGCTGGAGCCAGCCACACCACCATGCTGCCCGGCAGGAACTCGCAGCCCCGCAACCCAGAGTGCTGGTGGCAAGCGAGCTGAGGCTGCGGGGGAGGGGGCTAGCCTCCCCAGCCCGGAGCTCAAGGGCCAGGCAGGACGGTCCCACGGGCCCTAGTTTGCCCACCTCTGCTTTAAGATCTGCTTGTCTTTATTTAAATGGAATATAGGCTTGGAATACGGTTTCACATTTACAAGAGAATTGAATGTAATACAAAAGAAAATAAGATCCAAAATATAGCTCAGAAATCTACTGCCACTGAAAGGCAACATTTGCTAGGTAACAGGTTGCATATTTATTAACAAATGGATTTTTTTTCAAGTAGAACAGTGTCTTTATCCGTTTTTTTTCAGTAGCTATTAATTCAAAGTAGCCCAGCAGATACTTGTTTTTAATGACATTTCTCTAATATCCTGTCTAGGACTAGCTATTTTTGTTCTTCCTTGGTATGGTGTATGATTACACATCTTGTATAGGAATAGAATATTCATTCATCAGAGAGACTAATGTCCCTGTAGTTAAGTTTTAAGTGCTTTTCTTTTCTAAAGAAGAATATCTTGTGCCTTTTGTTGAAAACAAAAAATAAGCCTTTTTAACAGTGTTTTTTTTTTCCTTATTACCGCAGAAATGTCAACTTACTTATAGGAATTATATGAAACCCAACATAGTCATGGTGGATGTAGGAAAGTGGCCAATATTTACCTTGCTTTCACCTCAAGAAATAGCATCTATTCGGAAAGCATGTGTATTTGGCACATCGGCCAATGAAGCTATATACATAACCCATAATGATGAGGTAAGTGTATAAGGAAATGAAATACCTGATCTGTTTTGGGATGTAATTCTAACCCCTTTGAATGCCTGTAAATAAGCAGCCTACAAAAGACACTATGCATGAAACTGTGTCCCAGTCTGTGAGTGAATGTGGTGGGAATGAATTGCAAATATTTGAAATCTTGCATCAGGACATAACTGGGAAGAGAGTAAAAGGATTCACAATAAAACACTCTTAACAAAAATTATTTTCATTACTATTAATGTCATAGATTAGTAGAGATGAAAAAATAAAAACTTGCTACATAAACGGAGTCTCTTTACATTTCATTTCACTTGGACAACTGAACTAGACTGGTCAGTTTCACTTCTTGTATCTCTTACACTAGCACATATTTAAATATAACCAGACAATTATTATGACAAATGTTAGAACTTATTATACCCAATAGTGATATAAAGGATAGCAGCTGTAATAAAAATGAATCTCCAGTCCAGGATATGCCCCCTTTAGAGGTATCCGTTTAAATTTAAGTAACTTTTTTCTGAATCAAAATAGAATTGTCACAGCTTTTTTATGGAAAGAGAAGTAGTGCATTGCCCTAAATAAGCCTCGGCACCCAAAAGGAGGAGATATTTGGATGCCTGCCTTTAAAGCGTACAAAACACACAATAAAAACACTTCCATAAACTTTTAAAGACCTATGATTTCAGTAGAATTATTTCCATTAGGATTCGTAAACCTTCCTTCTGTGTGTATTAAACAAAAATCTAAATTTTTAATCTAGAACTAGTTGTAGAACCCTTTGAACCAGCAATAAAGTTCCATGGATGAATTCTTTGCCCCATTGAAGTTGATGGCAAAACTCCCATTCACTTCACTAGGGCCAGTTTTCACCCTATATATCTATATTTCTGTCTATCTCCCTCTCCATAAATATGAATCTAAATAGTTTAAAATGCAAACTGTTTTTTTTTTCCCCCCAGGTGTTTGTGTTTGGACTAAACTGTAGTAATTGTTTGGGGACTGGAGATAATCAAAGCACAATAGTACCAAAGAAATTAGAAGCCTTATGTGGAAAGAAGATTAACAATCTCAGTTATGGAAGTGGACCACATGTTATACTTAGCACTGAAGGTAGAAAACATTTAGTATGTGAAATAATCAGTTACATATTCTATCAGGGTTAACCAAGAATGGAAGTGGAGATATGTTGGTAGATTGCTACTTGGCCAATGTGCTGGGTTTGTGTTGCTCTTCTGGAAATTCTGATCCTGGGTCAACAAAGTTCAAAGGCCAGATCTCTCAATTTACATAGGTCATAGCTTTGCTGAAGTCACTTTACACTAGCTGAGGAACTGGCCCAAAGCATACCATGATGGTAACATGCTTAGTCTTTCCTCTGGGATGGAGGAACTATGTGAATTACCAACTATCAGAACTTAATGATCAGATAACATTTTCCAAACCTGATGGCCATCAGAATCAAATAGTATGTTCTAGTTTAGTGGCCTTCTAACCAACCAACTTTTACAAAAGGAAGAACGCAGGTTATTTCTCAACACTGGGTGGGTAGTAAACAGTGGCAAGGGAATGAATGCATTTTACTTTTTGAACATAAAATTGGAAACCAGACTCCAACATGAAGTTGTAAAGTTCATTGGCTGACTAGCGAGGCAGTGCTGGTTAAAAGGGTCTGGACTTAATGGCTTCAGACCCTAACATTAAACTTTTCTTTGTTTTTAAATAGTTGTTTTGAGTTAAATTTGTCATAGTCTATTCTTATGTGCTTGTAGCATGTGGCGTCAAGCTTCTGAAATATTATGAATAAAATGACAGACTGCTCACTTTCTCCTCTAAATTGTTTGCCTGGTTCCTTTATTTAATGTTGGATTATGAGCACATTGAAACACCTTGCTCAGTTTTTTTTCCTGGGGAGGGGATATTAAAAAATAATTAACATCAAAATTAGTTAATATGGACTCACTGGACAAAGCCTTCTTTGCCTTGAATTGACAAGAGGCAAGATAGAATCTGTTTAAAGGAAGTCTGGGGAAGGCAGAAAGTCAGAGAAGAGCAGAGAGGTTGCTTGAGAAATTCTCAAGGTTGAAGAATGCTGAGTCCAAGGAAGGGAAGGAAACTAAATGGAGTTCAGGAAATGTCCACTCAAAGTTGCTTCCTATATGGCTTCCCTTATAGAATAGTGAATTCATATAGAAAGCTGGTTTGGTTTGGGGAAAATAGCTTTTGTCTGATCTGACAGCTGACATCAGTTTTAAATAGTTAATGATATTTACTGCCAATTATAGTTGGGTGCGGGGGGGGGGGGGGGAGCATTTTAATTCTGCAATAAGGTTAGTGAAACCATTTGTTAATGTCCTCCATTATATTCATGTGCCACCATTTATCTCTCTCAAATAACCCAGAGCTCATGCTATGGTATAGTTATGAATAGTTAGACTTGAGAAGGAAGGCTAAAAACTGTACAAAGAATAAACTGTAGAACAATTACTACACTAGTCTCACCACTTAGTTATTCTACTCTCACTTTCACTTATAGCTCTGTACTTATGCTTTTATAGAAGTTAAAGATAATACAGTGTTTGAATCAATTAACATCTCAATTAGTTTGGAATTGGTGGGGGTGGTATCATAAAAATGCATATTTTGTGCAGATGGTGAAGTTTATGCTTGGGGACATAATGGATACAGCCAGCTTGGGAATGGAACAACCAATCAGGGCATTACTCCTATTCAAGTCTGTACCAACCTGCTAATTAAGAGGGTGATTGAAGTAGCTTGTGGCTCTCATCATTCTATGGCCCTATCATCTGATGGAGACGTAAGTCTTATATTTTCTTATTTAACTTTTTCAATAAACTTGGAGTTCCTGAAAGGAATCAGATTGATAGCTTTGGAGACTGAAGTCCTTTCTATCCACAGTACAGGTACAAAGTAACCTTACCCATGCTGTCCTACCAGTGTGCTTCAAACCCAAGGCACCTTCTCTTTAGGGGTGGGAGGGATAGTTCATTCTCCAGGCCAATTTTAATTCTTCTTCCCTACTGCGATTTGAAAATTGTGGCCAGTGAGTATTCTTGTGGGTTTTTTGTGCATTGGACACCTATCAATAAGTCTGAAACTGGAAAGAACACTGCATCTAAAAAGCAATGTAATTTTGAAAGACGTTTTTTCACTAGTATTCCCTATCTGTATAATAGAGAATTGTACCAGAAATGGTAGAATCTTCCAAAAGATACAAATTTAAAGTTGCCCTCTGTGTGCGCTGTCCTAGCACTGACACGGATGGGTCAGTCTGTGGAAGTGTTTTGGTTCTCTTTAATACTGTATCTGATTGCTGCATTATTCATTATTGTGGAAGTATTCTGCTCTATCCACCTTCACATACATTGAGAGGGATTGGGCATAGTTGGTTTTATATCAAAGTTCTGCTTTATGCTACATATGTTGTAGAAAATATATCCCTGCAGAAATGAGTGGAGTCAGGCTTGATTTGTCCATGTCTAGTTACCTGGAAAGTGTAAATCACAAATTTCTTTATGTACTGCTGACTAGTCAATGTTTCCTTTTTAATGAGCGTAAAAATGGTATTTTTAGACTGTGAGTAATCAGCCTGATCTAATGCTGTTTTAAGGCTTCATCTGAATTGTTTGATTCTAAAATCAGCTTAAAATAGTTAAGATGAGGAATTAAAAATAGGCATAATTCTGTCTATGTACTGGGCCCCCAAACCATAGTATCTGAGCACCTCCATATACTGTTCTAATACAAAATCATACTACTGCCATTATGACACACAGTAGCACATCAATGTCTGTAATGAGGGGGAGGGAAAGTAGATTCAGAAGCTAGTTTTTTGCTGATAATGTGCTGCTTTTGAGAGGAGCTTGTGCTTAGGAAAGATCTTGAGATTTTTCATTTCTTTGCCTTGCATAGGGTATGAAATTTGGAAGTGTAGTGCACCTCGTTAGGCAGCAGTGATATGGTCCAAACAAGATAAGATGAGAAATAGGAGAAAGAGTGTTCTACAGGTGCAAAGAATGAGACCTGTAATGCATATTTTGAATATAATGTATATTTAAACTGTACTTAATTACAGTGCTAACCTCCTGAAATTTAAACATTTAGTTTGACCTATATTATTATGCATTCTCTTAGTGTTTGACTGAGGCTTTGTCATTACAAGATATATAACCCTGATTGTACAAAACATAAGGGAATGTGTTATGGAATAATATTTACAGAAAGAATTGGCTGCAAAAGTAAATGACTTTAATCTCTGGAATTTCAGAAGGTCTTTGAAGTGTCACGTGACACTGTTCTTGTGGCATTAAATGATGAGCTCTAGAGTAGATAAAGGTAGGTGAAGGGCAAACAAACCATCAGCAATTGCCAAATGGGGAGAACTGTTGAACAGATGAATAGAGGCAGCTAGTTCATTTCATGGTTTAAAGAGCAGAAGCTGTAATCACAGGTGGCTGTCTTATATGACGAAACAGTGGCTTAAATTTCACATTCCTGTGGTGGTTTGCTAGGAGGAGAGAAAATATGCTTAAGTTTACTTGCAATTTAACCTCTAGGAACCTTTAAATTTAGAGGCTCACTCTTCCATTATCATTCTGAAAAATAAAGCTGGTAAATCTTCTTTGACAACGTCTTCATTATAGCTTAACACATAGAGGATGTTAGTTATACAAAGGATACATTTAATACAGTAGAATCTCAGAGTTACGAACACCAGAGTTGTGAACTGATTGGTAACCACACACCTCATTTGGAACTGGAAGTATGCAATCAGGCAGCAGCAAAGACCCCCCCCCCCCCAAAAAAAAAAAGCAAATACAGTACTGTGTTAAACATAAACTAGTAGAAAAATAAAAGGAAAGTTTAAACAAAAAGACTGGACAAGGTAAGGAAACTTTCTGTGCTTGTTTCATCTAAATTAGAATCATAGAAGATTAGGGTTGGAAGAGACCTCAGGAGGTCATCTAGTCCAACCCCCTGCTCAAAGCAGGACCAACACCAACTAAATCATCCCTGCCAGGGCTTTGTCAAGCCAGGCCTTAAAAACCTCTAAGGATGGAGATTCCACCACCTCCCTAGGGAACCCATTCCAGTGCTTCACCACCCTCCTAGTGAAATAGTGTTTCCTAATATCCAACCTAGACCTCCCCCACTGCAATTTGAGACTATTGCTCCTTATTCTGTCATCTGCCACCACTGAGAACAGCCGAGCTCTATCCTCTTTGGAACCCTCCCTTCAGGTAGTTGAAGGCTGCTATCAAATCCTCCCTCACTCTTTTCTTCTGCAGACTAAACAAGCCCAGTTCCCTCAGCCTCTCCTTGTAAGTCATGTGCCCCAGCCCCCTGATCATTTTAGTTGCCCTCCGCTGGACTTTCTTCTTCAATTTGTCCCCATCCTTTCTGTAGTGGGGGGCCCAAAAGTGGATGCAATACTCCAGATGTGACCTCACCAGTGCCAAATAGAGGGGAATAATCACTTCCCTCAATCTGCTGGCAGTGCTCCTACTAAAGCAGCCCAATATGCCGTTAGCCTTCTTGGCAACAAGGGCACACTGCTGACTCATATCCAGCTTCTCATCCACTGTAACCCCCAGGTCCTTTTCTGCAGAACTGCTGCTTAGCCGGTCGGTCCCCAGCCTGTAGCAGTGCATGGGATTCTTCAGTCCTAAATGCAGGACTCTGCACTTGTCCTTGTTGAACCTCATCAGATTTCTTTTGGCCCAATCCTCCAATTTGTCTCGGTCACTCTGGACCCTATCCCTACTCTCCAGCGTACCTACCTCTCCCCCCAGCTTAGTGTTGTCAGCCAACTTTCTGAGGGTGCAATCTATCCCATCATCCAGATCATTAATAAAGATGTTTGGGCACTCCGCTCAATACCAGCTGCCAACTAGACATCGAGCCGTTGATCACTACCCGTTGAGCCCGACAATCTAGCCAATTTTCTATCCAATTAAATTAAGATGGTTAAAGGCAGCATTTTTCTTTTGCATAGTAAAGTTTCAAAGCTGTATTGAGTCAAAGTTCAGTTGTAAATTTTAGAAAGAACCATAATGTTTTGTTCAGAGTTACAAATGTTTCAGAGTTACGAACAACCTCCATTCCCGAGGTGTTTGTAACTCTGAGGTTCTACTGTACCTTGAAATACACCCCCACACCCTCCATATATTCAGTGGGTGTTTAGTTTTAGATGAATTAGAATAGTTAATAAAAGCAAAGGATGCAATATAGTTATGGACAAAGAACCTCATGCTTTTTATTTTTTTTCATGGTGGTAATGTTATAATGTGTGTGGCTGGTGCTTTTGCATAAAGTTTTTTTCTCCATTTATCGTCTATCAATAGATATTAAAGTAAAGCGCTCAATTAGCACCAAAAAGGATATGTTGAATTTATGCAAAGGCAACCTTGGTCTTGCAGTTGCAGTCAGCAGCATGTCGGGTAACATCTTTTCCATAAGGGTAAATTTAAAGCAGGACAAAACACTGGATAGTAAACTGTAGGAAATATTCCTACATTTGCCTCTGGGGATGGACTAGATAACCAAATATGAAATAACATACATATATTAGAAACTTTAGAGGAGGGGAAAAAGTCTCCTGAGAGAGTATATATTTCAAGATCTTTTAGGATTTTATGAACCCAGACAACATCTTGCTTTCTTAATTTGTGACATTTTCAATAGCAACAAATTCTTGTACAAAACAACTACCAAAACCAGTACTTCCCTTCATGCAATTTCTATCAAGTGTCATAGCTGCTGAAACTTGTACGGTGAACCAAAACTTGCCCATTCACAAGCTCCAACGGCAGGTTGGGGGAAATAAGGAACCCCGAGGACACTTTTTAGACCCTTATCCACCTGAAACAGACTGCTAAGAAAAGTGAGAAGGGGGGAATTCTGTAAAGCTGGAAAATAAATGACATCCTTCACTGTATTCCCCGTTATGCTTAACTGTCTTGAAATATATTGGAAGGGGTGTGTTCAAATTCAGCCCACAAAGTTGTATATGTCCTACTGCCACCTTTATCTTTTATACTGGAAATATGTCCCTTACTTTTGACAAAATTTGGATGTTCCTGTTTTGAAATAAGTAATTGAAAAAAGTGCCATGTTTATACAGTACCAGATCTAGCTCATAATATTTAAATTAAAAGAAAAAGTCAGTGATTTGGATTTAGCTAGGGTTGGGCAAGTCCTATTTCTTCAGAATAACCTAGTAGCAAAACTAAACATTTTAGCTCTAAACTATTCAGATATGTATCTCTCTTTTCATGGGCAGGTATATGCATGGGGCTATAACAACTGTGGTCAGGTTGGATCTGGATCTACAGCAAATCAGCCAACTCCTCGCAAAGTCTCAAATTGTTTACAGACTAAAATGGTGGTCAGTATTGCTTGTGGTCAGACCTCCTCTATGGCTGTAATAGACAATGGTGAGGTAAGCTTTCTCCACTAACCTAATAATACATTGTTGTCTGCTTATGACTGAATAGAGATGAGAAATGCTGACATGGAGAACACTTCAGTTACGGAAGATACATCAGTAACTACTGTGGAATTTTATGGTCCACAAGAAATACCTTAGTATAATGGTTCAACGGTCACAGCTTGAGCATGAACAGTAGGAAGTATCTGCTAAGGGAGAGTTAATTGCATACTTGTCCAAGCTGTTAACAGGGTTTTTCACTTAACAAAATTCACAGAATGGGTTACTTTTTTATAGAAGTTATTTTAAGTCTCCACCTCCTAGTTACCATTCAGGTGCCTTCTTTGCAATAAGAAATAACTTCCAGATGTGGCTCAAAGGTTGAGTAACCAGTTTCCAGTCTCTAAAAGATAATATTGGTCTGTTTGTATTGTAAAGTATCTTCTGTATTTTTGTAACCTGAGAAAATAGAAAGTCACAGGGTATGAAAGTCTGCAAATTTATAATACCTAGTTCTATAAGACTATGAGACTGGCCATACAAGGTCAAAGCAATGGTCCATCTAGCCCAGTATCCTGGCTTCTGACAGTGACTGGTGCCAGATGATCTAGAGGGCATGAACAGAACAGGGCAATTTATCGAATGACCCATCCCATATCATCCAGTCCCCGCTTCTGGCAGTTGGAGGTTTAGCGACACCCAGAGCATAGGGTTGTGTCCCTGACCATCTTGGCTAACAGCCACTGATGGGCCTATCCTCCATGAACATATTTAATTCTTTTTGAGCCCATTTATACTTTTGGTTTTCACAACATCCCCTGGCAACTTAGTCCCACGGGTTAACTGTGTATTGTGTGAAGTAGTACTTCCTTATGGTTCTTGTGTTATATGTTACTATCATATACTCTCCTTAGTCATCTCTTTCCTAAGCTAAACAATCCCAGTCTTAATCTCTCCTCATCTGGAAGCTGTTCCAGACCCTAATCGTTTTGGTTGCCCTTCTTTGCACCTTTTCCAAAAAAATCTTTTCTGAGATGCGGTGACCAGAGTTGCATGCAGTATTGAAGATGTGGGCGGACCATGGATTTATATAGTGGCATTATGATATTTTCTGTCGTCTTACCTATCCCTTTCCTAATGGTTCCTAACAGGGCCGGCTCTAGGTTTTTTGCTGCCCCAAGCAAAAAAATTTTTGGCTGCCCCCCGTCCCAGCCCTGGGCTCCTCGCCGCACCCCCCTGCCACCCAAACCCTGGGCTCTCCCCCACCACCCGCACCCCCCTGCCGTTCCAGCCCTGGGCTCCCCCTACCCCCCCACCATTGCCCCACACACACCTCCTGCCGCCCCAGCCCTGGGCTCTCCCCGCCCCGCACCGTCCTTCCACCGCAGCCCTGGGTCACTGGTAACTCACTCCCAGGGCAGGTCATTCAGCAGGAATTTTAGATGTGCACAGAACACAGACAGGATTGGTTCCCATATGGTTACAGAACTGCAGTAAAGTGAAACAATTTTCAGCTTGTGTGATTGGAGGATATCTGGATGCATATTATAAGACTGTCCTCCATAAATGAGGAAAAGTTGAGGTGCCTTTATTATTCTTTTGTTCCACTCTTTCTTTCTATGGGGAATTTGCCAATGCAAACTGTCTTCCTTTTAAACAAACAAACAAACAAAAAGGCAATGGCTGTTGAAAATAGCAATTCCAGTCCTAATAACCACTGGGAAGCATTTCTTGCTCAATTTTATCCTACTTTTTCTACAGCAAGTTACAGTGGATCAGTATATTTGATTTGGGAGAAATGAAGTAACAGCTGCCCAAACTGAGCTTGAGCACTCCTGAATTTTGAGGTATTCAAATCTGGAAGGCAGGTGCTGGGGAGGGGGCGAGGGGGCTGTGGCTCCGCAGGGGAGCATGGCAGCATGTATGCAGCAGTCTGTCTGGTGCTGCGCGAAGCCAGACACGCTGGTCTGAGTGGCACGGTAAGGGGGCTGGGGGGTTGGAGAAGGGGTAAGGGGTTGCAGGGGGGCAGTCAAGGGACAGGGAGCGGGGGGGTTGGATGGGGCGGAGGTTCGGGGGGGAAGTCGGGCAGGGAGAAGGGGGGGTAGATGGGTTAGGGGTTCGGGGGGGCACTCAGGGGACAGGCAGCAGTTGGATTGGCATGGGAGTCCCCGGGGTTTGTCAGGGGACAGGTGGGGGGGTCTCAGGAGGGGGCAGTTGGGGACAAGGAGAGGGGAGGCTTAGATAGGGGGTGGGGTCCCAGAAGGGGGCAATCAGGGGACAAGGACCAGTGGGGCTTAGATAGGGGGTGGTCCTGGGGGG